GTCAGGAATTTAACCAAAAAGTCTGCAAAGGAGAACAAAGATTCGAAGAAGCATGTGGGAATTGGGAAAGTCAGAGAGGTATTTGCTTGGAATTCTGTCTTCTGGAGAAAGAGGCACACAAGCATCCGGAGTTGTACAATCTGAACCGGGACAGAAGCGGAGCGAAGCTACCTTTGAGCCACTTTCAAGGGAGCCTGGGTCTTGACACAGAAACCGGCCTCTGATTTCAGATTAATTCCTTTTCCAACAAACAGTGAGTCCGGCTCTAAAAAAAGAAAAGGGGGGGGGAGCAAAATGGAAAAGACAGTGGATTCCTTGAAATTCCCTGAAGTGAGGGCCAAGAAACACAGGGACAAACACTGGACTTGGCAGGTCTGCAGTTTATCTATACCTCTGAGGGATGAAAAGCTGAATTGACCCCGCTGGCACACAGAACCCGTTGTTCCACCAGCCTGGTTATTCCAGCCAGCCTTAACCCTTTCACTTCACCCCTGCGTCATATTTAGCTGCTGTTAGAGCTGTTGCTGGGATGAGGTGAACAGGAGCTCGCCGTGGCTCGGGGCCCACACTGTCTCACTGCCACATCATTCCCCTCTTCCCTCTGCCTCTCCCCTGCCATCTCCAGCTTGCTGCTCAGCTTCCCCTTCACCAGACCAGGGACCTCTGTGCCCCGGCACCATGGGGTACTGCAGTTTGTCTCAGCTGTTGTATATCAATGAGAGAAGAAGGGGATCTCTCCACCTGCTCCCAGCCCATGGACTGTCTCTTGGAAGCCCGGTCTTCAGTGTACATCCAGCATGGCCAGTTCTAGATGCTGTTCCCCTTCTTGCAGCCTTGCTGCTCACCTTGCCTGCAGAGCTCTGAGCAAAGGGATTGTCTCTGACTCTTTGCTTTCATTTGCTGTGGCTGGGCTGCAATTCAGCGTCCCAGTGTTCCCAGTGCCTCATTCATAATGCTCCTACAACTCCACGCGCATCTCTCCAGACAAGAAGCATTTTAACCAAGGCCCTCGTTATCTCCCATCTCTGTTAGTAGCTTCCTCCTCCTTGAACTTAGTGACATATCAGCCACTTTGATCTATTCAAACACAAGCTCCCGACATCCTCTTCCCTGTCCACTGCTGCGGTCAGAGCCAATCCACCTCCTGCCTTTTATGTTCACGTGCTGACAGCGGGTAGATTTACGTTAGACACAGGGAAGAAGCTCTTCCCTGTGAGGGTGCTGAGGCGCTGGCACAGGGTGCCCAGAGAAGCTGTGGCTGCCCCATCCCTGGCAGTGCTCAAGGCCAGGTTGGACGCAGGGGCTTGGAGCAAGCTGCTCCAGTGGAAGGGGTCCCTGGGGGCTGGAACTGGGTGAGCTTTAAGGTCCCTTCCAACCCAAACCAGTCTGGGACTGTAGGATTCCATGTCAGGTGGTCACAGCTCTGCCTTGGCTGTCATTGCTTCACCGTTGTCTCTGCCACACAGCTCTGCTCTCTTCACCTGTGATGCCGGTGTCCTCGTTCGTTTACCTGCTGCTCTCAAGGGAGCCTTTATGCCCTCTTCCATGATGCTCTTGCCCCCAGGCTGCCCTGCCTCCCTCAGCTGAGCTGGCAATACCAAACTTTGTTGCAGCAACCATGAAGAGTAGGTGGTTTACAGCCAAGTCAGCCTGGAATTGCTTACGTGTGATGTAGCTGGGGTTTGTTGGGTTTAATATACGCACACCAGCATGGGTAAGTGACTGTGCCTTTCCCCTTCCCCTCCCTGGCTGTCACTGCGCTCTGCGGAGCCTGCGTGCGGTGCTCATGCAGCAGGCTTGCTGATTGCTTCCACAGTGCACGTTTCCTATAGTGCCAGGAAGGTAACAGCTACCAAAATGATGGCAATTGTGTTTCCTAAGCACTGAAATCCAGATGTGAGCAATGCATAGCGCAGCTAAGAAACGCTATTCTCTCCTCAAGTCGTTATCAGTATACAATGGAAGCACTCCAGAATACGTGATACAGCCTCAAGCTGCAGCAGTACCCAGGTACAAACCCGGCGGTTCAGAAAGGAATAGCCAGCTTACGTCTGTTCCCTTGTCCTTATTGATCTGGGTAAGACCTGCAGCGTTTTTGTCACGGGCATTTTATGTCTGAGTTTGGGTTCTTAGAGGCGTTCTGGAACTGTATAAAGAGCCCTTTTCACTGACATGGCATCAGGCTTGTTGTAACGTGAATGGCATCATTACGGTTCTCTCATTAACATCATAATGGCTCTGGAGGAATAGTGAGTGCAAACCCCAGCAAATGGAGCAGGAGCCATGTACCATGTAGAGTAGTGTGACTGCGGAAAGCTGCACGCGGAAGAAGTTTGGCGTCTGAACCTTGAGGCTGCTGGAGATGCCTCGGGGTGTCCTCACACCGCCTGCATGTGGCTGACAAAACGGAAACCTTGTGGTAGCCTACGGCTGGAGGGCTGGCTTCAGTAACGCCCTGCCTGGCTTCCATGCCACCGGAGCCCACAGGAGGCTCCCAAGTGGATTTTGCAAAATTGAATCCAGCCCTGAGCGTCAACCTTTTGCTGGAGTTTTGTACAGTACATGTATTGTACGCTCAAACGTGCGTCTTTCATCCCTTATTTCCAGTGGCGTTAATGGGAATGTAACAATGCGCGTGCTGTTCTGCAAAGTCTCACTGGAGTGGATGGGATTTGGGATGAAATCCCTCCACTGCCTAGGATGATGTAATATAAATGGGTTGGGCTGGTGGCTGGAGGATGGCGAGATCTGGTTCTGTTTCTGGCTCTGACACTGATTTGCTTGGGTATGCAGGAGGGGATTTGGCCACCCTTAACGGGGAGAAACAGTAGGCTGGCTCTGCAGGAGCAGCACCAGAGGTCCTGGTTAGGGAGCTAGGTCTAGCAGTGCTTCTGTAGTAACCACCATCTCGTACTTCAGGCTGTCAGTTCTGCCCCCTCCAGCTTTGCCTTCGAGGAGACTGACTTCTCCCATGTGCCAAGTGCAGCTCCCTTCCCACTCCTCTGCAGCAGCTGGAAATCAGTGCTCTGGAAAACCAGATGGGAGCAAACAGCGTACCCAGAGTCACAAGCCCTTCTCAGGGCCTGGTTCCCTGTCTGCTGGAGCAATTCCTTCACTATAAAGTGGGGCTTATTTTGTAGCCGAGTGCCACCAGTGCAACACCCACCGAGACCTGCGGGCTTGGTCTGGCCTCTGGTTCTCTGGGCTTTTGGTTTGCTTTGTTTTTCCTAGGGAAGATCTATGACTTATGGCTTGGTTTTGTGCACTTTGGCAACACGAGGAGTGTGCGCGGACAGTAGCTGTTTGTGGCAGTTCGCTGGCTCGCCTCTGTTAATTCTGCGCGTTGTAAATACCAGAAGCAGTTCATTTATTTTACCAGCTGTCCAGAACACTCAGTTTTCAAGATAAACCAGCAGCGCTGTGCAGGAGGCATCCTGACACTTCCCTCCTTTCCTTACTTCCTTCCTTTTTTCCTCCCTTCTTCCCTTTTTTCCTCTCTCTCCCTCCCTCCCTGTTCAAGCACAGAAAGGCCTGTTTGTGATGAAATACGACATAAGAAGCAGCACAGCCAGAATCTCATATTCTCATTAAACAAAATCCCACAAAGAGATGCCGAATTCATTAGGAGCAACGAAATCCCGACTTTCCCGAAGCAGCAGTGGGTTTCTTCCAACCCTTATTCTCTAAAGACAACCGCTGAGTGTTGACATCGTGCCAACACGAGAAGATTGATGTCCTCCTGTGAGTGATTCCTCACTGCAGATTAATGAGGAGAGTCCATGGGTGCTTTCTAATGTTGGCGTGATCTTTTCAGCCACAAAATATATGGCTTTTTACCTGGTTCTTGGGCCACTTTTTGGCCCTGCTCTTCAGGCAGCAGCCCGACCCACTTGTTGTTTCGACCAGTCTTCCCGTGTGCGGGTGCTCGGCTGGCCACAAAAGGTGAGGGGAAGAAACAACGTGTCGGCTGTGTTGGGGTAACTTCCAACGGGCCAGCCTAGCGGGTTGCCATTCCCCGCCTCTTTGTTCCTATGCCCAGGACCACCGAGACGGCGTTAACGGGCTGCTGGGAGGGAACAGATGTGGTGCAGGATGAGTGGATCGATGCTGAGGAGGCGGGTCGGCACCCTCCAGGGCGGTGGTTGGAGCTGCGGCCCCTCCGCATCCCGCTCCCAGCCGGCAGGAGCGTGGGGCAGCCCCCACCCGAGGCACAGGAATCCATCCCGCTTCCTCGTAACGCCGGCGGCCTCGCGCGCTCTTCCCGAACGCAGGAAACCAAGCGGCAGATGCGGGTGATTTATTGTCCTTCCCTCCCGTGCTGCGGTTGGGTTTTGCCTCTTGTCAGAGAGCTCGCAGCCGCTAACCCGAGCAAGGCCGGAATTCCACCTGCCCACCTGCGGCCCCTCATCCTCCTCCGGGAGGGCTGCGCACCGGGAAGCGGCAGCCGCTTTCTTAGAGAGAGGAGGAGGAGGAGGAGGAGGAGGAAGGCGAGGGAGGGGCCGGGCCGTGCCTGGGCGCATTGTTCCGCGCTCCTCTGCCAAGAAGTAGGTGACGATGAACTCAGCCCCTCGCAGAAAGTTTGCTCCCTCCCCTGCCTGCCCCCCGCCGTGCCCTCCCCTCCCGTCTCCTCTCCTCCTCTCCTCCCCTCCCGGCGCTGGCCCCGGGCTCCCCGCTCCTGCTTAACATTCCGCCCGCTCCGCCGGGGTTGTGCTTGGCTCCGGCGGGGCTGCACCGCGCGGCGAGAGGCCGCGGCCAATTCTCTGCCTTAGTCTCGCAGTGTTTTGACGGCAGGAGGCAGATCCAGTTCAGCCCGATCGGGGCTGGTGGAAACAGCTACCCGAGTCTCTGCTGTCTCGCTCCGCTCGGGAGGGAAGGAAGAAGAAAGAAACGCGATCCCCAGCTGCTGGGCGCGCTCGCTCGCTCTCACACACACCATACACACACACGCACACGCCATACACACACACACACGCCATACATACAGACACACCATACACACACACAGGCTCGCACGCCCGTCGGTGCCGAGCGCGCCGTGCCAGCACCGCCGGCGGAGAATGGGAAGCGAGTGATCGGATCCGTGCCGGTGTGTGAGCAGCGGGGCCGGGAGCGGGCAGCGCGCAGCAACTCCCGAGCACCCCGCGCCCTTTGTGGGGAGAGGGCGCCGGTGCTTTCCGTGCCCTACGAAGGGAAGCGAGATGAACGCGTGCCTATGCGGGGTAGCGGAGGGCTCTGAGCGCCGGGGGCTCCGGTGAAGGGGGCTGCGGGGCGCTCACCGCGCTGCTTCCTCCGCTTCCAGGTGCCGGCGCCCGCGATGACCCTGGTGCTGCCCATGCAGCGGCTGGGCCGCCCCATCGCCGCCGAGGGAGCCGCCGACCTCGCCGCTTACCGCGCCCTCTGGGAGCCGCCCTGCTGCGGCCGCCCCGGCCCCGCCGCCGCCGGCTCCCCCGCCGCAGGTAGGCACCGCGCCGGGCCGGGGGCCGCGGAGGGTCCCGGTGCTGGGAGCGCTGCAGCAGCTCCCCCCCCCCCCCCCCGTTCCCCGCTGGCCGGGCAGGGGCTATCGCTGTGGCCGCAGGTAGATGTGGAAATAGGCGGCGGGGCTCTCCCGTAGCGCGGGGAAGGGAAACGAGAAGCGTTGTGTTTGGAGAACCTCCGTCGAGCCGCGTGTCATTTGTCGTATCTGATTTACCGCCCGCAGGATCGCATTACAGGGGAATTTCAACTCCTGTAACAGCATCCAAGATCACATACTTTAAAAGGAAATATGTGGAAGAAGAGGATTTTCACCCGCCACTCAGCAGCTGCGCGCATAAAGTATGTCTTCTAACAGTCATTGTTTTCACTCCGAGTTTCAGATGCTTGGTAACTAACACCCGATTGACCCATTTCCAGGAGGCTGAAATCGGGAGAGCGATCCAGCTGTTTGGTCAGAAACAAATAGTTGTCACTTGTTCGCGTTCATTGTTCTGTTGTCATCGGGTTGCTTAAGAAGCAAAGGCGTTTCTTCGTTTGTAATGACTGTAAATGGAAACGCTGAGAATAGCTGGTTTGGGTTTGTCAGATTATTTTGTTCTTAGCTTAGAGCATGCCTACAGAAACGGCTCCAGGACAGCGTTTGAACAGCAGAAAGGAAGGGCATAAATAGAGAGAGCCCGCGATTCCCCGCTCAGTCAAAACTTTTTTCAAGGGAGGAAACAGCAGTAGGTTCCATGTACCCCAAATGGATTACGGATCCTCTGGAAAAACAGAGTGACTTGGAAAGTGAGTACAAGCTCCTTTCAGAATTTAATCCTGTTTGTTAAAAAGCTAATAACTTCCAAAAGAACAGATTAGTAAACAGTATTTTTGCCTAATGAAAGCTGCCAGGGGAGGCATTAGAGCACACATTTCCCAGGCCAGCGAATACATAAATTGAAATCTAACTTCTTTATTTTAATGAGAGGTTTGACGCTCTTCTTCCCTGAGGGTTCAGTCCTGTGGGGAAGGGAGTGCCTGGAGTGATGGGCTTAAAGACAACTTGTGCCTTGGGACACCAGCCTCGCCTTGCTGGGTCGTACCTGGCCCGTGGCCACCCATGCAGTACTGGCGATGGAGAGGACCCAATATAATCTGATTAAAGCACAGTTTCTGGGAGGCAGCAGTATCACAAGAGCCCCAAGAGCATCAGAAAGCTAAGCCAGATCAAGGCACGGAGTGAGTTTATACATTATCTGTGCCTGTGTCACAGAGGCAGCCGCCTGAGACACGAGGAGAACCGAGTGCCTCACCCCTGCCAGGGACACGGGGCAGGGAGCTCTGCCCAGGGGATCCTGTTTCCCTGGAGGGGTTTCCGCAGAGGAGAAGCGAGCAGTAGCGCCGAGCTCGCTTCCCGAGGACCTCAGAGCAGCCGAAGGGATTTTCAGCTACAAATAGTCTTGGCTGGAAATAAAGACCTGCCCGGGAAGGTGAAGAACTGCCCCGCTGTTAATGCCGGAAGGTGTCCGGTCTGCTGCCAGAGCAATGAATATATAGCACCAGGTCGGTGCTCTGGTCGGTGACTGTGTCTCCCACGTGTCACATCGCTCTGATTTCAGCCAGGTTTTTTGCTTGCCTAGCTGGTTGGAGTTTTGGATCAGTGATTGATTTCCTCACGAAGAGGAGGAGGAATAGTTCCTTGTCCTTTTCTAGCAGCATAGAACCCAGTCGTAGAGGTACTGGGGTGCTAGGACCGTCCCAGGCGTCGCTCTGCGCTGCTGCGGGGGTGCAGCACGTCAGAAACCCTGGACCACCCGTTCCTCCTTTTGGCACAAGTGCATTTCCTGCTTTGCAGCGCTGAGCTCTGAGCAGGGAGAATGCCACAAGCTTTCTCTGCATTACTATACCCCTGCTGCCCGATAAAGAAAGAGTTATGTGCTGAGGTGATAGTTCCATGGAGGGTATGACGGTAGGGCCCAGAGCCTCTCTGCAGAGGGCTGTGGGCAAACATTTGTAGCAGAAGTGGTTTGACAACTTGTTCTTACCGGTGGCCCTCCAGGATGTATCTCCAGGAGGATCCCAGTTTGAAGGCTTGCTGGTTTGCTCCAGGCTTTTACGGCTTCGCTGGCTGTTGCTGCAGCAGGTATAAAGGGTGTAAATTAACCTATAGGCTTAATATGATTAGAAATGAGTCATTTATTATAGAAAATTACTCTCTCTAACAAAGAAGAGCTTCAGCTGGGAACTCACGTGGAAATGGGGCCAATTTTTGGTTTTACCAGGCACTGTGTTGCTTCTAAGCCCTGCGGACAGGACCAGGCTGTGGAAAGAGCTGGAGGGCTGAGGAGAGCTGAATGGATGTGAAAAGCAGCTGTGCTTTAAGCTCTTTCAGTCCTCATAGCTACGACTTCCACTCTGCAAAAATGCTGTAACCATGTGGGAAAGGGAAGAATGATCAAGCCACAGATGGGGGGGGGGGGGGGGGGGGAGGATCTCGAGCAGCCTCTCTTTGTGCCGTGCTGCTCTCCTCCTACGCAAACCCAATTCTTACTAAAAATGAGAATCAGTCAAGAGTGCTTCCAGTAGCACGCCTTGCCCCCTCTCGGGTTTGGATTCCCAGGGTAGCGATTACAGCGCAGGAGCCGGGGGCTCCCGGGGGCAGTAACCTGCTCGTGCTCGCCAGCGCTGAGAAACAGGAGTCCTGGAAGGACCACGGAAGGGAGAACAAATCCGCGGGCGCCGAGCCAGGATTTCTGCAAATCCCTATCCTCTGCTCATTTCCTGACCTCGTCCCTGCCTGTCTGCGTTCCCACCGGTCCCGTGGAGCGCAGGGTGTAGTACGCGGGCCGACAGCTGCTCTCCAGATGCTGCGACGCTTTGAGATGGGTTTCTCCCTGCTTCCCTCCCTGCATGCACGTTTGCGCACGAGAGCAGAAGAAGGGAGCTTGGCAAAGGGAGACCTGCTCGCTGGTGGGCCTCTTCCACTGGCAGTGGAGGGAAAGCTCTGACACTTGCTGCAGGGCTGCTGGAGGGGACCTTCGCTCGGATTCAGAGCTTTCCAAGAGGCCCACAGGGGACAATTGAATAGGGCCCATTTATGTAGGAAATCAAAACTGCACAACGGTTTTGTGTTCTAATCCCAAATGCTAATAAAGAGCCAGATGTGCGCATCTGGATTTCGCTCTTCCATCCTGGACTCGTGCCCCGTGATTGCCTCTGCGGGGTAATGCTCAGCTACTTGCCTCCTAACCCTGGGTGAGTGCTGTGGCCAAGAGAAAGCAGGTCCCCAGGTACATGGGTGTGCAAAATGAAAAGCCAATTTTAGGAGCCTCGGAAAGAGAATTAAAAATGTAGTGGTACGGGGGGGGGGGGGGAATAACAACCCCCCTGGCCTTCGGTTCCATTATCCTGTGTCTTTTGCGTTTTCAGACCATCTCCGTGTTCGAGGAGCGGGCCCATATTCTTTACATGTCTTTGGAAAAGCTGAAGTTCATCGACGATCCTGAGGTCTACCTGCGGAGATCTGTCCTCATCAACAACCTGATGAAGAGAATCCACGGCGAAATCCTCATGCAGAACAACTGGTGCTTCTCCGCCTGCTCCTTCGGTGGCACCCCACCGCAGGAGTGGTTCGTGCCTCAGGACTGTCCGTACAGGAAACGCCTTCGGATGGCAAAGGAGGAGTACGAGAAGCTCCACGTGTGCTGCTTCTATCAAGAGTGTGGCAGTCACTATTTAAATCTACCCTACCCTGTTAATGCTAGTACAGAAAATACTTCCTCTTCTTCCTCCTCCTCCCTCCCTATTTCTTTGCCAAGCTGTTCCCAGCAGGTGGATTATGACATTGGCAGTGCCTTTTCTTACAGGAGTGATGACCAGATACCTGCAAATGAAATATTCATCACTAATGCCAGGTCTCACAGTCATCAGGAAAAGGCAAAATCGAATGTGGAGAAAGGCGGTAACGAACCTGAGCGGGACAGCGCAGCCCTAAACTGTGAACCTGTAAGAGGCCCCCATGCCCTCGAGTATAAAGGCAAACCCTATGACTGTTTTGAGACCGGATGTAACGACAAGAGCAGCATCAGTGAATCTTGGAAAAAAACCTTAAGGAAAAAGGAGTCTTTACCAAGTAATAAAACGTGCTGCAGCAAAGGAAGTAAAATCTGAGGCGTCCTGCCCTGCGGAAGCGCGCGCAGCCTGTTTGTCTGTCTCTCAACTTCTCATGTTGAATGGATTTTTTATAGTTTTCAACAAATGGTACAAGCACGCCCCAAACGCTACGTGTAGTTTTCAATGACTGGAGAGCAGATTGTGTGAGGCGCCTCGATCGGATGCATCAGAGGGCTATTTATAAGCGCGGAGACTTCATAGAGAGCGCAGTTGCGTTCCTGCCTAGCCCCGTGGTCTGCGCAGCTCTGGTGTGGCTTTCGTTGCTGAAAACGCCAATCAGGCAGATGGGGAAAACATACCGTTTTCTGTCGCCCTGCCCCCAAGAAATCTGCCATTAATTAAGAAGAATCTCCGTTATGTTTGCCGAGGAATTAAAAGTCTGGTAAACAAATTGATGCTACCAGCAAGGGCGATGTGCTCCTTGTAACTCAGTATTTGTTCTGACAAAGGACTTGTCTTCACGGACCGGGAGGAAACCATCCGCACGTTTTGTACTGATACTCTTTGACTCCCCGGATTCTTCGTCTCCTTCAACGGACAAAACAGGACATAGCGTAAAGAAATAATCTGGTTATGGGATTTTGATCAGAAACACAACGTGCAGCTTCAGTACTTGCATGTTTTCACCTCGGCTGTAATAACTAATGAGGCTTGCTGTTACACAGGGCAGGTTTTGTTTCGGTGCCTTACTTTTTGTCTTAATTTTTGCCAGCGTAAAAATTAAGTATATATCAGTGCTACAGCAGGGATTTAACCTTAAACAGAGGAAAAAAAAAAAACCACAACCAACCCACAGGGTGGATCAATATTATTAGAAACCTTTAACCTTTGAAGTACCGAGTTCAACTTCCTATTCAAACATCTCTGTTCCTCCTTTTTGATGCTCAATTGCTTTTTGATTTGCCATCCTTAGGAAGGGATTTAAGAAACAATAGAGAGATGTCTCTTGTAAACAAGCATTCGATGCTTGAGTTGCTATGGCAACTGTCTGTTGCTGGGGCTCTTCTTTTTTTTTCCTTCTTCGTATAATGAAGTTCATGAACCAGTGGCATGTTTTATACTTTATTCTGTTTCGCATAATTTCTCTCTTTTAGATTGCAAAAGCATGCGGGAGTTTTCTATGACTTTTGCTGTTGATTTAAAACGAAAAAAAAAACCAACCTAGGAAAAGAAAGCAAAAAGCACAATGTTAACAGATAATGTGGCGATAAACTTGGTTTTATCCGAATGAATGTAAGGGGTTTCATTTGAGAAAAGAACATTTTGGAGAAATGAGCTGAGATTTCAGTGGCCGAGGACAACATTGAGTCATCCCTAGGTGCACCGTCTGCAAAGCGTGCTGTTTGAAATGCCCAGAAGACGTTAGCTGGGGTTGGACCGAGCGCATTGTGAGCCTTAGATCCACCGAATTAATCAGTTCCCACAGTCCTCATAGCAACTGGCAGGATGAGCTCGGCCAAATAGCCACATCCAAGCCACAGCTGACTCATAACAGCTGCCTGTTCCCACAGCACCATGCGCTCCGGCAGCATCTTCTGCTTGGTACTCGCCCAGAGGATGAGCTCCACCCCAGTGCCGGGGGAGCAGCCGCCCCGGCTTGGTGCTGGAGCCACCGGGTCTCTGGGTCAGAGCCCTCTCGCTCGGGGTTTCACGGCTTCAGCCCATGGCTGTTTTGGGTACTGCGTGCACCCCACAGTTGCAAACTGGGCGGGTGACCAGCAAGAGGGTAGGACCTCAGCCGGTGATAACCTTCATGCAGTGAGGGGAGCTGGAGCCGATAAGTTTGTAAGGGTTGTCATTGGGAAGAACAGCAGATAAAGTGTAAGTCCCACCTGATTTCTCCAAGACAGAAGCTTTTTTTTTTTTTTGTATTAAAGATAATAATAATATTAAATATAGATCTCATTCATACAGTGTATGAGTAGGATCACCAGTTAGACATTTGTCCACAAGGACCAATTTTTTAAAAACCCTGATTTTTTTCATGTGTTATACCCAGATAAGTCTAGTAAATGTCTGCTCTTTTCCGATATTTGATAAACACTTGATGTTTTAAGCTTAAATATTAGATGCTTGTATACTAATGTGTTGTTGTAGTAAAGTGAAATTTCCTTGATATATATTTATTAAAATGACCAAAATTAATTTTATTTTACATCTCCAACGGCTACTGGGTCCTTTCCCCCCCGTTCCCCTCCCTCACCCAAGGAAATGCCATTAAATCAGAATGCTCCCCGCAGTTGACTCTGCACCTCAAGCTGAGTCCAGGATGGAGCTCAGCCTTCTCGGGGCTGCAGGAGCCCTTAGGGCAGTCCGAAGGAGAAGCACCAGACTTTGCTGTGGGCTTGCATGTATGGCCAAGGAGAACGCTTGCCCAGATGCTCTCCGAACCATCAGCCAGCTAACATCTGGGTGGCTGAAAGCTTTTTGACCTTAAGGGGCTTCTTGGTCTTCAAGATCAAGCCTGCACACATAACCATTGCAGAGTCTTCCGGGCTGGATTTGTACCAGCTGAAGCGATGGATCAGTGTAACTCTTTGTCTACGCTGGCCTCTCTAATAGCTTCTTTAGTTCCGGGGACACCTAGAGTTAACGTGTTACAGTTCTGGACAGTCCTATTGATTGCTCTCAGGGTCAGTAAGGGATGAAGTGTCATCTAATGAAGGTTGGCCTACGAAGGATGAGTGGTCTTTCGTGGCTTTCTCTGGATCCCGCCTCGCAAAATAATAGTGAATACTGAAAGCAGATGTGTTGGACTTGGGAGTCCGCTGAGTTATCCTGTTTGCTTCAGAAGAGACAGAGGGATTTTGTGTTAGAGCTGGAAACACTCTTGTGCAATTGCCAGAAATGCAACAGACCTTGACAGGATGTCCAACGTGGGCTAGGCTGAATGTACTTCATGGTTTTCATTTGATTTATGGCATGTGAACAGCCTAAACCTGTCAGGCCTTTTCCCCATTGCGCACCCCAGTACTTTCTGGTAGTATCACAAGTTTTCAAGAAATAGATTATTGTAATGCCTTTCATCCGTAGGTCCCACGTGTAAATGCTAAATGGATGCTCCTAAACTCGATCCTGGCCTACCTGCCTGGGATAACTGGACAGAAGAGCTTCTCTCTAGGGAGATCGCTTTACTCTTTGTCATAAGATACTTTGCTCCTGTGGCATAAGACTGAAGAGCTGTGCCGTTCAGCAGACTAATAGTGGTACTTCAATCATACGTGGAAAACAGCAATAGAAAGGAGATGTTTCTGTTGTCAGGTCTGTTTTACTCTCACTAGGAACAGAAGCATTGTTTTACCCTCAGGATCACTTGCCACCGGGTAATACGGAAATGCATAGTTCACTTGACTTAGAATCATAGAATGCTTGGGGTTGGGAAGGACCTTAAGATCACCTAGCTCCTAATCCCAGCGTAAAAAAATCATGTCCCCTTTTCAAAACAAGCCGCAGAGTATCATTGTGCTTCACGTATAGTCAATACTTTGGGGTAAAAATTGACTTTTTTTACTGGATTAGCTAATCTGTTGAAACAGCTTAACACGGTTACTCAAGCATCCCAGCACTGAAACAGCCTGAGCTGGCGCCGCTTCGCAGTGCCAGCGCTGCAGCTGGCTCCGCAGGCGAAAGAGGCAGGCGGAGCCGCAGCAGTGAGGCGCTGCTTTCAGGCCCGGAGGTGTTACACCCCAAGGCAAAGCTGTGCTGAAGAGGCTGCTTCTTTTTTCACCTTTCATCTTCCTGTGTGCCCTCCCTCCTCCTCTCACACCTCTCACCTACGGTCCGCCCTTTTGCCTCCGGGGCGGTCGGCTGGGTACCACCGCCTCTTGGGTTTGCTCAGGGGAAGCAGGGAGCTGGTTCGGAGGTGCAGCATGAGCTAAAGGAAGGTATAAAGACACTAACCAGGGTGCAGGGTGTCTGGGCTGCTCCGTGGCCACGCCGGCGGCCCGTGCTGGTTGTGATCCATTCGCCTAAATGGCCTTTCCAGCTGGCAGTAGCTCAGACCGCTGCCGGGGTAGTGATGCAGCGATTAAAGAGCTATGGCCAAAGCGGAGATGTGAAGGTGATCTCTAGCCTGTGTTTTGACTTCCCTGAGATAAAGACTGTAGCCAGAGGCGCAGCAAATGCAATTGTTGCTTACTCGTGTGCCAGGAACCTTGATAAAAGAAGTTTCTTAAGTTTTTATCACAGAAAGAGCCAGTCAGTCACCTCAGAAAAAGGTTTAAACAGTTGTGGGATGAAGGATTTCATCTGCTGTTTCACTCAGTGAATGCAGCTCTCACGTGGAAGCGTCCCAAAGGGACCCCGTTCCTTGCCTGTCCCCTGTTCTGCAGCTTCCAATAAAGGGGCTGCCCCTGCTGTCTGGAGGTGACCTCTGGGGCTCCTCAGTACTGCTATGAGTGTTTCTGCAGCTGCACAAAGCACCCCAGAGGCTTTTCCTGGCAGGCTGTGCAGAGCCTGCTGAAAGATGCTAGCCAGGGAAGTGCTGCAGAGGACCTCGCTGGAAACGCCGGGAGATGTGAATCTTCCGCCAGGCATCCCATGTAACAGCCAAGCCGCTCAGTCACGACTGCTTGGAATACACAGTGATTTCCTGTGTTCTTTCAGTCTCACTTTAACTCCTCTGACAGATGGGGAAAGATGACTAAACCCAGGGAGTTTACAAGGGTTCGTCTTGGGCTGTTTGCAAACTGTCTCTGGGAGGTCCATTTTCTCTAATGTAAACACAGCCGTGGCAGGGTGCCCAGCGCCTCTGCAGCAGTTCATCCTGCTCAGCTCAAGGCTGCTAATATGGGGTGTACCCGGTGTACACTGGGGAACGCAAACCGGCCCCGGGGCTGAGCGGGGTTAGGCTGAGACCTTCGCTCCTATGGGCTCTCCGCAGAGAGCAGGAAACAAGCAGCTGTGGCTGTTAAGAGCAGACTGAATTCACCATTCGGGGGCAGGGGGCCTGGGGTCAGGTGTGGAAGGTTAGATTAAGCTCTAGGGGAGCGCCCATGTGAAAACAGTTGGCCTGTTAATTGCTCTCCCTAGTCTTTAAATCGTAGCAGGGAATTAAGCCCACCTTGGGGAAGGTGGGGTTTTAGTTCCTCAGCTTTGCAGAAGCCGTGCGGGCTGCGTGGTGTGTGGAGGCTTCTCTCCAGATCCAGCCAAAAGTCCAGGTAGGCAAGTGCTTTAACTTATTTTAATCTCTGTCTTCAATCTCCCCTGCTGAGGAACGCGGGCAGCGAGAGGAGAAGTCAGAGGAAGGAGGTAAACGGTCTGTCTGCTCAGGGGCACTCTGTTTAGTGCTGTCTCCTGCAGTGGTGCTTTCCCTGTGGAATACCCCACTGGGCTCCTCTTTCTGTACTGTGTGCTGTATCTTCATCCTGAAGCAGCTAAGGGCTCTGGTTGCTGCAAAGGAGGTCGGTGGAGTGGCAGTGGTTGGTGGCCGTGCCTTCTCCATGAGAAAGTGGTCCGTAGTTATCGTGGCTGCATGTCTCCATCGGTTGGAAGGTGAAGCACAGCATTGCTTGCCCTTTCTCCTACCTGCCTTGTATTTCCAATTCAGCACTTTCACTTGTAACCTGCGTCTGGGCTCCAGTGCTCTCTGGCAGTTTGCTGGCTGATGTTTCAGAAACACTCTGCAGCTGGGTGATGGGCAGTGAGACCCTTGCAGTGAATGAGAGGGTGCTGTGCCCCTGAGTTTAGGAGAAGTTGTGCCTGCTTCTACCAGCTGACCACCCACAGCTTTGGTTATTGTTGGTTTTGCCTTTCCCTCTTGTCTTAGTTTTTAATCAGGACAAGTTTCATATGGCAATCCCCCTCCTCCACCCCATACAGCATGGGACCAGCTGCTCCGTATTTACCCCTTTAGGAAGGGAGAGACTCTGTTAGTTGGAGTGGAGCAGCAGATCATTTTCTAATCTAGTTTAATTCCTCAATTCCAAGATGGTGCCTGTCTCTCCGTATATGTGTAAGTTTTGTGCTTTATTCCTTCAGCAACCCTAAAATCCCTTGTATGCTTTTATTGCCTCCATCCATTGCTGCTCTCAGGGTGAAATCCTCTGTACTTATCCTGTGAGTAGGCTCCACCTACTAGCCACATCCTCTTAGCCATATAGCTGCCATGGGGCCGTTTATTCCTTTGAACAAAGTAGTGTGGTTTTGGCTTAAAATGCAGTTGTCCTTTATATTACAAATCATCAGACAGTGCGCATACATCACGTGTTGCTACCCTGCACGTGTAATGTACTACTAGTAGTATGCTTGCCTCAAATTCAAGGAATTAAATCCTCAAATCTCACCAAGTATGACCAAAGGGACCTGTGTTTCTCAATTTCTATCGATACTGTCATTGTTATTAACCTGAAAATACAGCTTGACTGATTTTTAGATCTTGAGCAGCTCGCATTTTACCTGCTGGCGCTGCGTACCTGTTATTCCTTCTTTGACCCCTTCTTCTGTGTGACAGATTGGATTCTGGTTTATTAATCAGTACAATAAAGGCAAATTTCCTTTTGTGTTTGGTATGGGAAGTTACGAAGCGTTAGCACACTCCTGGCTTGTACCTTCATCGAAGAATTGCTGCGATACTGAAACTTCAGAATAACCTGTA